TGTTTTGGAAGGGGTAAAAACTAAAAAGTAACTCCACCATCTTTAAGGTGAAATTTGGAAAGAGGATGATGAAGAATGGAGGACCAGTTCAAAAATAAGGTTAAAGGGTAGGACCGGACCCAATTAACACACAATGCAAAATATGAACTTAGCTGAAAAGGGGGGAAAATTTGTCCCTTTTGGCCATTGGGGTGGGGGTAGAAAACGTTTTTAGTTTTTGGGGGGGGGGGGCCCCCCCCCCCCCACCACCGCTGGCACGGGTGTTGTCTGTCTGGCATGGCGGAAATTGCGAATTAATCACTATATTTGGGGGCCCTCACCCCCCCCCCCCACCCACTTGGATTTGTCTGTAGAGTCAAAAGACTATTAAGTATAAACCCCCTTGCCTTGCCTTGCCTCCAACATTATATATATATACTCTACTAGTTTTGATTCTTTTGTCCACTCTCCATAGTATTTCGATTAAATTCTCTACTGCCATTAATTATTTAAAACTAAAAAACGAAGAAGAGTGAATTCTAGTGCCATTACTTGTTTTTATTTATGTATATATATAGTATAGTAAAATGAAAAAGTGGTGGTTAAATAAATAAATAAATAAATAATTGGGGATTGGTTGTTAATGTGAGAAGATGGGTAGATGAAGATGGTGGGAGGGAGGGAGGCACGTGCCTGCCTGCCTTATTCATTGTTTGGGTAAAAAATCAATCCATCATTACATCACACTTTTCTCTTCTTTTTATCATAACAACTCCAAATTTCCCATAATACCCGTTACCAATTTTCTTTCTATTTTTAACTTCTTTTTAATCACTGAAATCGTGGTTTCTTTATTTTTATCGGTTTATTATACTCATCTCTGTTTTCGTCTGTATTTGTATTTGTATTTGTATTTGTATTTGTATTTGTATTTTATTTTATTTTTGAGAGATTTCATTTGAAACTTTTGCATTTTTGTACTCTTCTAGATGGGGGCTGCAGTCACTCACATTTCAGTTTAAGGATCCTCTTGATTTTTGGGGTGCTTGCTTCTCTTTCTCCTCTCGTAAATTTCGTTCTATGTTGTTCATTTTTAACTGTAATGAGTCGCGGTGAGTACCATTCTTTAGAAACATTGATCTCACCTAATTTAAATTACATGTACATTCACATAAAATATGCAACCAACCAACACAGCTTTTATAAAAAAGGGCAAATGGCAAAAAGGCCCATCACATGGAACTTAAATGCATTTTAGTCCACAAAAAAAACAGTCTCTCAATTAAGCCCATCCCCATGTCTTTAGTCTAAAATACCCTCAATAATATAATTCTTAACAATTCCACCCATTATGCTCTAACTTCCTTAATATTACACATTGACCCCGGATTTAAACAAATATATCACATTAACCCCCAAAACTTTTTTTTTTTCAGAAAATAATTTTTTTTCTGAACTTTTTTTTTTCCGGCCAGATTCCGGCGTTGACCGCCGGAGACCGCCGGTCTCCGGCGTTGACTTTTTTTTTTTTTTTTTTTTTTTTTTTTTTTTTCTTAGAAAAAAAATATTTTAATTAATAATACTGTCTTGACTACTAAATTACTGTCTCAGACAGTAATATCACTGTTTGGGACAGAATATTATGAATATTATTTTTCCGAACAGTAATATTATTAATATTATTGTCTAAGACAGTTAAATTACTGTTGGAGACAGTAATTTAACATCCAAGACAGTAATATTAATTTAAATAATTTTTTTTTTAGGAAAAAAAAAAAAAAAAAAAAGTCAATTAACAGTTAAGTTACTGTCTCCGACAGTTAAATAACTGCTGGAGACAGTAATTTAGCAACGAATACAGTAATATTAATTAAAAATATTTTTTTAAGAATAAAAAAGTCAATTAACAGTTAAATTACTGTCCCCGACAGTTAAATAACTGCTGGAGACAGTAATTTAGCAACGAATACAATAATATTAATTAAAAATATTTTTTTAAGAGTAAAAAAGTCAATTAACAGTTAAATTACTGTCTCCGACAGTTAAATAACTGCTGGAGATAGTAATTTAGCAACGAATACAGTAATATTAATTAAAAATATTTTTTTTAAGAATAAAAAAGTCAATTAACAGTTAAATTACTGTCTCCGACAGTTAAATAACTGCTGGAGACAGTAATTTAGCAACGAATACAGTAATATTAATTAAAATATTTTTGAAGAAAAAAAAAAAAAAAAAAAACAGTCAATTAACAGTTAAATTACTGTCTCCGACAGTTAAATAGCTGCCGGAGACAGTAATTTAGCAGCCAAGACAGTAAAATTAATTAAAATATTTTTTTTAAGAAAAAAAAAAAAAAAAAAAAAAAGTCAACGCCGGAGACCCGGCGGTCAACGGCCGTTGACCTACCGGGAAAAAATTTCAGGAAAACAAAATTCAAAAAAAAAAAAAAAAAAAAAAAAAAAAGTCAACGCCGGAGACCGGCGGTCTCCAGCGGTCAACGCCGGAATCTGGCCGGAAAAAAATATTTCAAAAAAAAAATTATTTTCTGAAAAAAAAAAAAAGTTTTGGGGGTTAATGGGATATATTTGTTAAAATCCGGGGTCAATGTGTAATATTAAAGAAGTTAGAGCATAATGGGTGGAATTGATACGAATTAGGGTTAAAATTGGGGTCAAAATTGAAATTTGGGTTAAAATTGGTTAATTGATGAAATTGGGCTAAATTGGGGTGTAAATCATGAAATTGGAGTTAAATTGGGTTTCAAATGAATTGGGGGTAATTTTGGTATATATAAAGGGATTTTCCTTATTTGCAAATAAGTTTGAATGGGGTGGATTTATTTGAAAGACAAAAAAGTTGGATGTCCCTATTTTAATTAAGTGCCCTTGTCATGGGCCTATTTGCCATTACCCCTATGAAAAAAAGCTTTCTTACCATATATATTTAGTAACTTGAGCCGTTGCATAATGTAGTACGACAATATATGGTGCATTGACATGTGTTTTTCAACATATCGTAGTATAGTATCTGATCTGCAAATGCACCCCTCAAAATACATTTGATCTTCGTACGTACCACTATTTGATATGTGACATTAAGTACTTGACGTAGAACGCAAGCACGGTAAAGAATTAATTTCTACGAATTAATCCTATAGAACACGATAACATTCGGAATCCACCGAAAACTCTGGAATCCACCAGAAAAATAGAGAAAACTCTAAATATTTTATTAAAATTCGAAATTCTTCCCAAAATAAAGTCATAAGGCAGCTATTTATACAAAAAAAAACTGAAAACCCTAATAAACTAAGAAAATACTAAAAATTACCAAAAACGGCAAAAACGAGTTAGATCATGATTCTAGTAGATCTCGTAATTTTGGGAACGACCCAATTTACAGAATCCTAATACAATTTTTCTATGATTTGATATTAATTTTCTAAACCTTAACTAAAATAGCAAAAACGAACTTTTAGGAGTTTAAACGACGCTGGATTGCTGAAATTTGACGTGATTCATGAGCAAAGCTCATGAGTTTTGTTCCTTGCGCCGTTTCACTTGATATAGAGTTCGTTCGGTACTCAAATACAAGAGTTCGTAGAAAACCCTTCTTTTTCCATAATTTCTTTCGATATTTCCACCAATGCCCATTAATAACTCTTCTCCGAATTAAATGGTTATTTTGCAATTCAAATCCAATTTGGCGTTCCTTATCAATCTCCTCTTCTTCAAAAGAGATCGACCTCGAGCTATGATCAAAATATAACAATGCATACTTCTTTGCAAACAACTTCAATTGCTCCACCAATCTTCCCGGCACAAAACTCTCGCTTACAAAATCTTCCTCCAACCGAGGCATTAGAAAAATTGGCTTCTTAATCGAAAATTCCAATGGCTCCACCAATTTCTCCGATACAAGAACTTCACAGCAAACACTATCTACAATTAGGTCACATACTTCAACGCAATCCACTTGTTCTTTCTCTTCTCGTGCACCTTCCTCTTCTTGAACAAATTCTGCAACTTCAAACTCTTCCTCAAATTTACTTGTAACATCCTCTTTAAACTCGTCGACCTCTTCTTTAAGCTTGCTAACATTGTCTTCTACCCCATTGTCGCTCTCTTCAACTTTGTTGATGCTCGCTTCAAGCTCGTTGACTGTCCCTTCAACTTCGCCGATGTTCACTTTGATTTCGTTAATGTCATCGTTAATAATAGCTACGCTACTTTTAACTTTTACGACAATTTCCTCTTCAACTTCGTCAACTCCTACGTCATGATCCTCCACAAAATTTGGAGGTTGAATAACGAACGAAGTATCTTGTGCCTCTTTAACTTTGACAGCGGGTGGAACATCTTCGGTTTTTCTAGAAGAACTATTTCGCTGATAATATTCCTCCCTCCATGCTAACTCTTGAGCCTCTTCAAGGGTGTAGAATGTACGCCACCCCCATCCTAAGACGTATTGCAATATTCAATCCTGCCAAGTATCGTGAAATTTTCGTACTTTCGGATTCTTGCAGGTTATTTAAGTTTGCTAGTCTCACAAACTCAACAGTATACTTGTAAACAGATCTACTCTCTTGCAAACAATTACGATATAGTTGAAATAGACGTTGCTCATAACCTAGGGGTAAAAAACGATCCATCAACATTTTTCTCATCCTCCTCCATGATTGGATTGGAACTTTTTCTTGCCTAGCTCTCTTCCACTGTATCCCATCCCACCATGCGGCTGCATGTTGGGTGTAATACCTACACGCTAGTGCACGTATCGTACAAGTAATATAGTGGACTAAAAGTCCGGATATCGAACCCACAAGGAATATTTAATTATTTAATCCTAGACGCTAAATTCTATCAATTATTATCAAGCCCACCCTACACAGTCGAATTTAGAGAGAATTAACTAAAATAAATCAAAAAGCAAATTAAAAAGACTAGAGCACGGAAACAATTAAAAACGAAGATCTAATCAAAGTAAGCAAGTCTAGGATTTTATTCTCCCCCCTATGTGATTATTATTCCCCCAATTCCTTCAATTATGTAAGTAATTAACCCGGATTATTAACCTGGGATGCTAAAATAATCATAATCCGCTTTCGCGTGTATTACGATTCTAATACTCTAGATTCAATTACTATATTCCTATGCAATTAATTCTAGAACACAACATTAAGCACAAATCTCAATAATGGCTACCTAAGAGATTAACTATATTCCTATGTTAATACCACAAAGGCTCTTCTACCACAGTTCTAGTTATTAATCCGATCTTCCGATTCACTAGGCCAAAACAGTCGACTGGCGACGAAATTTGGCGACGAAAATGTGTGTTTGGCGACGATTTTTTTTTGTTTGCGACGAATTATTTTGGTCGCCAAATCCTACAGAAAACGTCGCCAAACGTCCCGTCGCAAGATCGGCGACGAAAAAACATTTTCGACGCAAATGTTGGCGACGAATTACATTAATCGGCGCAAAATTCGTATTTTGTGGAAAAAAATGTTTTTTTTAGTATTCGCGACGGATCCTATACTTTCGTCGCTAACCAGTTGCGACGAATACGTAATTAGTCGCAAATGTTGGCGACGAATGTTATTTTCGTCGCTACATTGAGCGACGTTTGTGACGTTTTCGTCGCAAAGTTTACGAAAAATATTTGCGACCAATGACTGTTTTCGTCGCAAGCCCCATGATTTATTTGCGACGATTTGTTTTATTTATTCGTCGCTAGGTTTTTTATTTTTTTTAATATAATTTCTGGTTTATTTATTTTTTCATTTAAGAAATTCAACCTGATTCAGCAGTTGTAAAAAAAAAAAAATACACTTATATCGAAAATATTAAAACCAATTATACGGATTAAATATCAATGTAGCACAAAACATAAATTAAAAAAGTACATAAAACTTAAAAGCATATAATGTAGTGTTGCAAAGTTTAATTCAAAAACCAAACAAAGTTCATCCCTTTTTTATACTCCACCATCATTGGAAGGAGTCGATGTCGAGGCTTGTAGTCCAAAACGGCCGACCAAGGTGTTCACAATTTCTCGGGTTTCTTTCAATTCCGCTTCCAATCTTTCCATTTTTTCATCTTTAAGTAGCATTTGCTCTTTCATTGAATTCATTTCCATTTGCACTTCCGGCGGAATTGAAGAAAATCTCGACTTTGAACTCTTTGTGGTGGTTGCAATCTTAATTCCAAGCCCTTTGCTTTTCCCGAGCACTTTTTCTATCGCAATTGAGTTGGCCGTGCTTTCGTCGCTTCCATCACGAATTGTCTCATCGTACACTCGTTCCAAATCAGCCTGAAAATTATTAAGTACACTTGTTTAGCAAAATTTCGACAGCATAACAACTAATAAATGAACATCCCCAAAAAAACCATCCATGTACGCAACAACTTAACATTATTTAAAACAAATATTCATATCCACATATCTCAACTACGTACTAATTTAACATATCAAATAATTTACATATGATAAACATGCGACAACAATAAACATAAGTAATTAACATACAACCAACTGAAGAATAAAATTGCATTACACTTACCGAAATGCGAAGTTGTTCAGGAGTTGCTATCCCATTATACGGTTCTTCTGTATCTCCTTCCTCACTAATACTTGGCCCGGTTTCCCTCAGTACATCAATACCCATATATGCTTTAACATAAACAAACAAAGATTTAAAAAAAAGGAAAATTACCTTGAAATGAGGGCAGGCGGAGAAGGAATGGCGGCAGACGGTAACGGCTGGCGGCGGGAACAAACGGCAAATTAGAAGCTGCTTTTTTAATTGCTAATTGCTGCTCTTGATTTAGCTAATCCTTGCTCCTTTTTATTATTTTTAAACTCTTCTCTGCATTTTTTTCATATTTATTTAATATTATTAATTAATAGATCATCATAATTAATACACTATGTTGAAAAAATTAAAACGAACCCACCACACACAAAATAAAATAAAAATTCAGAAGTAGTGTTGAAAACAAAGCAAAATTATACAAGAGAGAAAATCACATAATCTTTATGGCCAAAGCCCCCCTTGTATGTGTACTTGTTCATCTATATCTCATAAAAATAACGCAACAGAATGTTTTCAAGTCCAGAGCCAAAGGGTTTTAATTTTTGGGTAAGATTTTCTAATTTTATTGATTTTAAGTTTTGTGCAAAAATAAGGCTCAATTTATCAACTTCATTTTCAAGCCATATGGAAAAGGGGAAAATGCTGGACCTAATTTTTATCTAAATAAGCAAAATCTCAATTGATTCTCTTTGCCCCAATTGATGGTGACACAGAGTTTGCCCTGGTTCACAACTTTATCTTAAACACTGATAACAAATTAAAAATAAAAATATAATGCAAATTGAACTCAGTTACTACTTGTTCTGTGTCTTTTACTAGAAGAGAATCTCAAATAATCCCCACCAAAAATCGAAAATCAATTCACAAATCACAAATAAGAGTTTTTTTTTTTTCTTTTAAGTTGATAAATCCCCATTTTCAAACCCTTGAAAAATGCTGGACAGAACCAACAACTTAAAAGCTCAAACCATACAAGCTCTTACTATATATTAATTGGTCTCGTTTTTTTTTATTTTTTATTTTTAAATTTTAAATCACGTTCAACAAAGTTGTTGAGTGCAACATTGGTTTATAAAATTAGTTTGATGTACAAAATGAAATTCTCTGATGCGTGGAGAGAAACAAAACCACCCCAATAAATTCAATTTACACACACACCTGATTTGAGGAGCAGCGGCGAACGGGGAAGAGCAGCGGCGAACGGGGAAGAGCAGCGGCGGACGGCGGAGAGATGGGGGCGGAGAGATGGGCTGACGGTGGAGAGCAGCGGCGGAGAGATGGGCGGAGGAGAGCAGCGGCGGACGGCGGAGAGCAGCGGCAGACTGCGGCGACGGAGGCGGAGGGGGAGGACCCGGCGGAGGGGGGCGCCGGCGGAGGGAAGATTGAAAATGAGAGAGAAGATATTCAGAGAATTGGGGAAAAGGGGATTAGGGCCTGACTTCTAATTCGTTTTGTTGCGACGATTCCTACCAAATCGTCGCCACAAAAGATTTCAAACCAATCATTTAGCGACGTTTTAAGGACTTTCGTCGCTAACCAAAAAAAAATTAATTAGACATGCGACGTTTCTTACAGAAACGTCGCTACAGAAAAGCGAGATTTTTTCCATAATTATTTTGGCGACGATTAAAACACTATCGTCGCCAAGAATAAATATAATTCTTTTAAAAAAGTATTTGCCCTGCGACGAATCCACTTGTTTCGTCGCTACAAATAAATATAATTTAATATTTCCTCTTTATTAGCTACGTTTATCCTTATTCGTCGCCAAACCAATAAATTTTTTTTTCACAATTGCACTCGCGACGAATACGTAACATTCGTCGCTAAGGTAAAAAAAAAAATTGCAAAAAAAAATTTTCTTGCGTCGGTTATATAAAAACGTCGCTATGAATTTGCTTCATTATTTTTTTTTTTCACTTTGCGACGGTTTGTTATTATTCGTCGCAAACTGGCGACGATTGATCTTATCGCCGCGAGGTATTCCATCGAAATCTTATTTTCCGATATCTTGCGACGTTTGTTAGTCAAAATGGTCGCAAACTAGCGACGATTCCGGAATCGTCGCCAAAAAAAACGTCGCAAGTGAGCTGTTTTGGCCTAGTGATTCATGTGTTTAACAATAACATAAAAGCACATAAGTTGATCAAGTTCATGCACTTAATAAAACAAGTAGAAGAAATAATCCGGAATTAAAACTTGCATAAAATCATAGAAAAGGGTTCTTAAATCCCACATAGGGTTCCAAATAAAATCCTAGAAATAAGAAAATTAGCTACTCATGATTAAATGAAAAACGCAAATAAAATAAGTCATAAACGATAAATCTATGCTTGGAGTCTTCGAATTCTTCGTCTTCGTTATTGCTTTGTTGCTCTTCAAATTGCGTAAAAAGATCCCCAATTGTGTGCTTGACTTGGTCTTATATATGGTGAAAAACTTGGGGAGAAGAAGGCAGTTTCCTTGTGCAATTAAAATCCCTTTACTGAGCTGCCTCGGGGTCTCGGACGGTCGTCCCACAATTTGAACTAAAACTCGGACGGTAGTCCGAGCTTTATATCTTCAGAATTTTGATTTTTTCACTTTTGGCCCATATTTTCTTCAAAATTGCAGTTTTGACCCCATACTTTTCCAATTCTTCAATTTGTACCTAAAATACAATAAATCAACTTTTAAAGCACCAATTATCATTAAAACACACCAAAAGCTCACATAAAAAGATACAATAAAGTGTAAAAATATACACTTAACACTGCACTACCCTTTAACCCACACCTTACCAATTTTACCATCTTATTCGGCAAAATATCCATCAATTCAAAATACCTTTCAACTTCTGATACCCAATCGATAAAATCCTCAACTTCAAGAAAATTTCCACTAAAAGAAGGAATTTCAGCTCTTACCCGATACTTATCACGATCCTTTTGTCTCCTTCTAGGTGGGTTTTCTTCAAACTCAGAGTTGCGGCTCCCCTTTGAATAGTCGCCATACCTTGATTGAAATTGAACAGGTCCATCATAATTGTGTCTAACATATGCACCTCGGGCTACACCGTCGGCAACCATCATGCTAGATTCAGTCATTCTGTTATTGTTGTCAAGGGCAAATCCCTCGCACACCAATCGCAGATTCTGCAGTTTTTCAACCCTGCGGTCATCGCCAACGTAGTTGTTGTCTTTATGTTTTGCACCTTTCGCCATCTAACCAAGAAAAACCCAATTTACGGAATCCTAATACGATTTTTCTATAATTTGATATTAATTTTCTAAACCTTACCTAAAATAGCAAAAACGAACTTTTAGGAATTTAAGCATCGCTGGATTGCTGAAATTTGACGTGATTCATGAGCAAAGCTCATGAATTTATTAAATGATTATTTTGCAATTCGAATCCAATTTGGCGTTCCTTATCATAAGTGGTCAACAGCAGATTAATTAACATATACAAATTATAAAGATGGTATTACATAAGCTTTGTTGGTACATATACCTTATAAGGTCTTCCATATCTAACGCTACATTTTGTTTTGTATCACCATGTTTATTAAACATACCCAAGAACCAATAGAAATCATCGAGCCAGGCCAATAATATCTAAGCAAAATAATTATAAATTTAAGTGTATTCATTACATCAACTGCTGCTTACACATGAGATACAGTTTATTAAAAGTCATTATTAACTATACAATATTCATTGTCCATTGACGCATCTCGTATGTTTGTAAATGGAACGGAATTTACTACAAGTTATATACCAATCAATGTGTTTTAACTTTGTTCCTGTTATAATTAAACACATGAGATGTATGTGTCAATGGTCAATCAATTTCTTCTCTCGTATTAAGTATTTTATATAATGAACACAATTAAGTTAATAATTATTTTGATTAGATATTATATATATTAACCATTTTTATTTTATACTGTGATAGTTATATATTTTATCTTAATGTACATTCAATTTGATGATGTGTCTAACTGCTCATTTAATTAACTAGGTATTCCCTTTCAATTTGTCATGCATTGCAAACTTTTTAAAATTTTGATTATTTTATATCTTTTAAAAAATAAAACTAACGTGCTTTTATCCCAAACGCAAGGATGTAAATTCATTTTTTTATCTTTTAAAAAGAAAATCAAACTTGACATATATTTTGGGTGCAAGTTATGTTATGATATAATTTAAAGGTGGCCCAAAAACATTATTCAATAAAAGAAAATGTTTGTAATGGTGTTGGGCCTCGTCCCAATATATGAAATTTCAATTCGAATCAAAATAAGAAATTAATTAGGACTTTTGAGAGGAACATAACAATCGAAATTGTTTATCATTTTTAGAAATTTTCAATTTGCCCTTACCACTCATACATAATTTCAAACATTGATTATAAAAAATAAAATAAATAATTAATTAATTGGAGGGGGATATTTTAGTCAAATTGTGTATTTTTTTTCTGAAAAAAGTAATAACCATACATACATATTTGAATAGCTTACATGGTCCAATTTAATTTTCACACAATATTAAGTTAGTCCAACACTTGAAAAGGACAGTCCTAACCCCATATTTTGTGGTTTAAATGTTAATATATATTTATTGTGGATTTAACATATTATCCATTTATGATATAATATTTTATTATTTGTTAGTGAAGAGGGGATGGTGAAGAAGAATCCAGAGTTTCCAACATATTCGTAATCAACGGCTGGCATCTAGTGCACGAGCTGACCAGCATCACGGCCGACGCCCCCATCTATATAATAATAATAATAATAATAATAATAATAATAATAATAATAATAATAATAATAATAATAATAATAATGTAAACCCTTATTTATTTAACCTATTTTAATTCTCATCATCCTATATACTCGTATTTTTCTTTTGTACGATGTACCACGGGATATGGTTTTTGCAATTCATAAAAAATTCTATTTAATATTGATATGCCTAGCTGGGTCAATCTATTGGGCCTACAATTTCTTTATTTGTTATATTGAAAACTACTGTCATCAGGCCCAATCACCTTTAATTGTAAGGTTTGTACCGACAATCTCAACTAAGGTATAAATAAAAGTTTTTACTCATTCCTTAAAGTATGTGAGCAATATTACAACATGTATTCTCTAGACTATTTCTTCTACCCGCACGTCGGATTTGAGCGTCGGAGGGGTTTCCGCCGGATCAACCCCCGAATTAGATTACGTGTTTTTTAATTTACCCTAATGATTATTACTTTTATATATAAGATTTCCTTAGAGTATTTTGTGTACGTACTATGTATGTGGGGATTGGAAAATTGAAGTTTGTTTTAATAAAGACACAACATCCAAGAACATTTTATGCTATATATAGGCATTAATTAATATTCGGGATTACTATCATTGTGTTTTGTTGGTCTTAAACCTTCGGTTGTATTATCCACTTTGTATTTCTTGTTTTTTTTTAATAGTGAATTCTCTATTTTTATTTAGGGATAATTAGCAAGACCCCCCTCATCTAGGTAAATGAGTTAAGAAAACCCCCCTTCCCAAAAATAATTAGAGAAAACCCCCTTCCCTAATATTCTACCCAAATATTATTTAATAATTCCCAAACCACCCTTATTACTCCTAACCCTTGCCATTACAGACCCAGCCCCCACATCAAACTCGGCGCCGCCGACGCGGAGGCCCCCTACCGCCGCCGCTTCTCCGCCACGGAGTTCTTCCCGCGCGACATCGACGCCGTGCTGAAAAACAAGCTGAACCTGGGCACTTTCCTCGCCGTGCCGAAGGGGTCACCCTACGGCGGCGCCGCCGGGTCGTGGCCGGGCGCGGATGAGTTTCTGGCGAGTCAGCCCGAGTCGTGGGCCGTGCTCAGCGTGTGGAACAGCGAAGACGTGTACACGCTCGAGGTCCGCGGCGCGTCGCGCGTGAGGAGGGCCCTGGCGAGGACCACGCGGGCGGTGGACCGGGCACTGCCGTGGCTCCGCCTGCCGTCGGTGCCGGAGGTTTTCCGACCGTTTGGGTTCCACTTCCTGTACGGGATCGGCGGTGAAGGCCCGAACGCGGCGAGGATGGTGAGGTCACTGTGTGCAATCCACGATTCACAGTGTAGCCTTCTTCTCTCGTCAAAGTCAAGCACAGTGGTGATTGCCGGCCTAAGTGTGTAGTGTACGTTACAATAGATATTTAAAGATCGCTAGGCAAAATTACGCAACACAGTCTCACCGATTAAGGCTTAATGGACTATGTTCAGTAGTCGATTAAGGCTTAATCGACTATGTTCAATAGTCGATTAAGGCTTAATCGACTATGTTCAATAGTCGATTAAGGCTTAATCGACTATGTTCAGTAGTCGATTAAAGTTAACCGACTCTAGTTGTTAATTTTTTTTTTTTTTTTTTTGATTTTTTGTTTATTGATTCCAATGTATAAATCAATTACAATGTTTGTATTTTTTTAAATATAATTGATTTTGTATTTTTTTTTAATTGTGATTTGTTATTTTAATAGCTAAAATTTTAATCGACTATGCATTAATAAATCTGATAGAGAAAAAAATTAAAAAAACCAAAAAAAATTTAAAAACAAAATTAAAAACAAAAAAAAAAATTAAAAAATTAAAGATTTTCCTTAATCGACTATGAAGCATAGTCGATTTAAGACTAATCGACTATGCTTCATAGTCGATTAAAAAAACGGAAAAAAAAAAAAAAAAAATTCTGGAGCGCTGACCCAATGATGAGGTGGCGGGCGGGGGTAAAGCTGGAATATATAATAGCTCAAAATGGGTGTGGACTTTTCTCAAATGGACTAAAATATTTTGGGCCTCCCTCAATTAAAAAAAGTAGTGAGGGGGTTTTCTCAAAGAGCCCCTTTTATTTATTTATCTACATATGAATTATTGATATAGGCTTATAAATTATAATAATAGAAAAACAGAATCTAGAAGTGTGTTTTATTCATAAATAAAAAAGAAATAAAATAAAATAAAATAAAATGCAGGCAGTCACAACATTGGTATAGGTGCGTGGAATATATATTGGCCGTGTAATTAAAATCCCCTTTGGCACGTTTCCTTCCCTACAAAATAAATAAATAAAAAAATATCTTTGAATATAAAAATAAGTAATAAAAAATAAATAGCTCAAAAAATTCGACCGCCTTATAATTTTCTTTTCTTTTCTTGTAGCCCTCGGTCACCGTCTTATAAGTTAAAAACACAGAGGCACAGCCGTCAACCCCCACCTCCGCCCGTCACCTCCATACATACACACACAAAACACGCTCTTTTGGTGTTCCATTTTTTCATCAGGTTTCTCTAACTAGGGTTTCGTTTAATTCCTTCTCAGATTCATTACTTTTTTATTTTTTCTCAAGGCACACAGAATACTAATAAATGTATGTTTCTTGTGTTCATCATTAGATTCTTGTGAAAAACAAGAAAAGAAAAGAAAATCTCCGACGGCTGCTTCAAGGGTCAAGAAAATCATGGTATTTTTTTTGAATTTTCATTTCACTCACTCCCCCACTCTGTTATAATAAAAACAGAGTACATCAAAACCCTTTTTCAAAATAATAATAATCAATTTTTTATTAGCAATTTAGGGAATGATATTGATTAGAGAGGGAATAATTGAAATTGAAATGCAGGTGAGCCCAATAGTTGAAATGGGAAATGAGGGAATGGGGCCGCCATGGTTAAAACCAATGCTGAAAGCAGATTACTTCGTACCTTGTTCCCTCCATTTCGATTCCAATAAAAACGAATCCAATTTGTTCTGTTTGGATTGCATGGGTAACGCCTTCTGCTCTTACTGTTTGTTCCATCACAACCACCATCGTGTTCTTCAGGTCAACTTCTAATATATATTTTTTTTCTTTCGTTTATTTATTTTTTGATTTTCGATTGAGTGGAATTAATTGATTGATTGATTGATTGATTGAATGATTGATTGTGCATAAGAACAGATAAGGCGATCTTCGTATCATAATGTGGTGAGGGTGAATGAAATTCAGAGGTTTATCGACATATCTTGCATACAGACATATGTTATAAATAGTGCCAAAATCGTGTTCCTTAACGAGAGGCCTCAGCCTAGGCCCGGTAAGGGTGTCACCTTCACTTGCGAAATCTGCTCCCGTGGCCTCCCCGATAATTTCAGATTCTGTTCTTTGGGCTGCAAGGTATCTCATTCTTCATTCTTCATTCTCGATTCTCGATTCTTGATTCTTGTTTGTTTTGTTGTTCTGTTTTCTTTGAAGTCTATTGTATATCGTTAGTAGTCTTGTCTTGTGTGTTGTGCTACTTTTGTGACTTTGTTCCTCTATGATCTATTGTTGTTTGTTCAATGAATTATTCTACAACTTTCTTGACCCACAATCCGCTTCTCTTTTGGACAAGAATTGATTAGAGAGTCACAATTGCTTCCGTTTAATTGTTTGTTTGTTTGTTTTGGAGAACGTACAGATGAATGGGATGAAGAGAGGAGATAGTGAGCTCTCATTTTGGTTGAAGCCGAATAGCAACAAGCATAACAGGGAAATGTTTATTGCTGATTGGGATTCCGATGAGTCATCGACCCCTACGAAGATCCACCGTCCCAATAATATATTCAACCGATTTTCAGACACATTTGAGAGGTTGTCTTGCTCGACTAGTTCGGGGGACGAGTTGGGTAACAATAATAATAATAATGTTATATCACCAAAAACTCCTCCGCAGTTCAATCATAGCAATTCAAGTCGGAGGAAAGGGGTCCCACACCGAGCTCCGTTCTGAGATTACGACTGGTTCGATGGGCCTGTAAATATTTGGGCAGGTTGTTTGATACAAGAAGCTAAGGGTTTTCTTTCTAATGGTTTATAAGTTAGTGGTGGTGGTTATTGTGAAAATGGAATATATGTAGAAAATAGGTGAAAATATATATATATAGTAGGGTTACTTTCTTTGTGTGCATACAGTTACAATATAATACACTCCAAACTTTGTTATCAAGTAATACTTAGGTTATTAAAGATAAGTGTGTACATATATACATATTACTAATCACTTTTATATTGTTTTTCTTTGGTACTCCTTAATTAATAGTAATAGTATTGGGTCGTTAAAAGTATGTTTATTTGACTATTAATTCATTAATGTGACTCTTTCTTTTTCATGTTTCTCCTTGTTTCATTAATCTGTCATTATTAATATTAATCACAGATTAATATTAATGAGCAAACACATGTATTTACAATGTCATAATTACAAAGAAATGGAAGGGTAAAATATATTGTAGGCCAATATGAGTTTTGGTTGTACATTTGGTATGGTGTTATGAATAATCGACAAGTGTGTGTGTGTGTGTTTGTGTGTGTGGTTTTAAGTTAAGGTGGGACTAACTCTTAACACTGAAGTTGACGAGGATTACGACGAATAACAACGTTGATTTTTCAACACTTTATTTATTTATTAATTTATAATAATATATAAATGATGTTTGTTTCTTTCATGGGTGGTGTAAAATCATGGGAACTTCGTGTCAACAAAAGCTTAGAGGACACGTAACGCCCCCACCATCGACACCTACTTGTATAATCGACACTTGTTTTTTGTTTATTTACATATTTGTTATTATTATTGATTTATTTATTATCTGCAGATGCTTGATCACTTGTGCACCACCATTATATCTATATTCTTTATCCCTTTGCTTTTTATCTTTGATGTATGCATTTTTGTTGGTTAGTTCAATATTTGTTAGGCAATTAATAATTAGTTGTTATAACGCTCTTCCTCTATATATATTATTTCTCTATTTTTATGGAATTAAAGTTTAGGAGAGACATACATGCATGTTAGTCTTGGTCAGTATCCCTATTACCAATGCAACTACAATCTATACGCGCACACAATTAAAGTGAATTTTCGATAATAGAAGCCGTAATGTGGGGATTTCAATTTCAATGGAGGTTGGTTTCTTGTGGATATAAGATTTGGGTCCGCTACCCTGACAATAGTTGAGTCACCATAATTTAAATTTCTCCATCAAATACTTGTCGGACCAATGAATCTAATAGCCCTGTGGGTAAGGGATTTCGTCTTTTGTACAAGGTTGCACACCGAATTAGGCAGATGTGATTTGTAATAAGGTTCGAACTCTGGGTCATTTAATTTGAGTCTCTTGCTTAATACCAATTGTAAAACAAGTGGATGGATGGAAGAGCCGTGATGAATCAGCTCAACTTTCCTATATTCATATTTTTATCCCCACACACATATATATATATATATTGATGAATTAAATGTTTTTCAGCAATTTTTGTATTGACTGCCACCCAAATTTATGTTTAATTCATTTTGAGTTTGACTTGATAGGCAAGTAAGTAATATTCACAACTCAATGGTTTTTATTTTAACCCTCTCTTCAATATTATTGTCTGACTAGTAGACTAGTAGTCGAGCTCAGTAATTCCTATATATGGTTCCCCACCATAGACCATACTAATATATTTTATTAATATACATTAATTTGATGTGTTAAAGTTTGATTTATCAAATTATTAAAAAATCACCACCGGGCCGTAAAAAGTGCTATGTTACTGTTCACTCTTTATAATTTGCAAAGAAGCAGTAAATTTTAAAATAGCTGCGGGAGATTCTCTAATAATCCGCATACCTAAGAATGATAGAGACCACTAAAATAATTGTTTTGTGAACAATTGATGTTTGATTTATTCGTATGGAATTAATACATGGATTGGACCCTAATTTTTGACCTCTTAATTCATTTGTGGGCGCATTAATAATATATATGTGTTACAACTTAATATGATGTTTATTTGTCCTATGTCACATTCACATCAATAATAATTTTATTAAATAATACTAAATTACTAATTTTAAAATTTTGTTCTACTAATTAAACGGTTGTTCTTATCATGAGCTTAATTTAATAATAATGCTAGAGAGGACCTTACCTTACTATATATTTATCAACTTATTAAGAATCATATACTAAAAAAAGTAAAAATATTATAGTATTAGATAGTTGGTGTACTGTTCGATAAGATGAGCCAAATCCACATTCAGTAATTTGGATAAGCATAGTGTGAAGGTCTACGTTACAGCTTCTAGAATATTTATTATATTATATTTATATTTATATTACTCGACGCGTTGGTCATATTGGCCGTGATTTTCTCCCAAGCTGAGTCACCACCACTCAGGAAATTAAATTCAAAAAAAATAAAATAAAAAAAGTCCGTCTTAATCGCTTATTTAAAACCGTCACAAACCGTTATCAACCTTTACCACAAAAAAACTCAAAAGTCAAAACCCACAGCGTTGTCGTAATCGTTCCTCTTTGACCATACCCTAATTCTCTGTTTCCTTTTAAACATTAATTTCGTAACATTCCATACAAATTCATTTCCCGATTTGAGAATTAAAAACGAAATTAATTAATGGGTGGCTGTTTGTCTAATTCTGAATCCACCGATATTCGGAATCCCTCCTCCGCCAATTGCAATTGCAATGTCGTTTCCCCCTCCGGAGAATTGCTCCGCTACCCTCTCCCTGCCACCGTCGCAAAGGTTCTTCAATCTCAGTCCTCACCGGATTCCGTATTTCTCTGCAATTCCGACCGATTGTATTTCGACGATTTCATACCGTCTCTCGACCTTCACGAAGACCTCGAGCCGGCGCAGATCTACTTTATCCTCCCTACCTCCAAGCTTCAGTACCGGCTCGCCGCCTCCGACATGGCCGCCTTGGCCGTCAAGGCCAGCCTCGCCTTCGAGCAGATCAACGGCTCCGATCGCCGCAGCAAGAGGAAAAATCGGATCTCCCCTGTTTTCGTGTCAGCGTCGTCGGAGGAGGATCCGCAATCGAATCGCACGTTCAATCCGATTAAAAGCTCCGGCGACCTTCACCGACCGGCCGGGCTGGGAATTACGAGATCCGGTTCGGTGAGGAAATTAACAAAGTACTCTTCGAGGCGAGCTAAATTGGCGGTTCGATCATTCAGGCTTAAGCTTAACACAATTTATGAAGGATCTGTGCTGCTCTTAACTTAATTAATTAAACCAAGATTGTTTAATTTATTCTTTCTTTGTTACTTAATTGTTTTTTAAATGAGATTTTGTTAGATGAAGAAATTCTGCATGTAATTAAAAACCTCATTAATCAATAGATAATTTTTGTATGCGTTAATTCCCATATTATTATCCATCAAGATGTATGTCCAATCCATTCGTCGTTAACGTACTTAACATGATTTATTTAAATTTACGTCCATATTAGTATTAATTATTAAATTGGGAATTCATTTGAAAGGCAATACACGTTTATTGTTACCTGTGAATTTATTTAATTAATTTATTTTGGTGGTCAACGTTCATGAGCAGAATAATAAATTATAAACAACTGCACCACCTTGTGGAAATCGATCAATGTTTGTATATTTGTTGGTAATGTTCATACTATATATTATATTTATGCATGAAAAGTATTTGTTGAAGATGGGAATTTGACCATTTCATCCTAGACTATATGAGAGTTTATTTTTTATTCTTTAATTTTACTTTTTTAAAGGTCAAATGTCCACTGTTATGCAGAGTTGCAGACTCTCAACTTGCATAAAAGAAACCTAAGTCAATGGTATCATACACGTGTCACAACACTAATGGCCCTAAAATAATCAAGTTATTGGTCTGAAGAGGTATTTATTTTCAAATTCAAAATTTCTTTTCTAACATTGAAAACTATATATTATTGAAACTAATGAGTCCCATGTGTGTATTTTTAGTAAAAATGTAAGTAGTTATTAAGGTCTTTATCATATCAACAAAAACTTGTATTTGATTTGACTTTGTATTAAATTTAAGTAATGTCATATTAAAATCAACATTGAGTCCTCTTTAGTTGTGTTTTTATTTTTGTTGGGAAAGCATAATGAGGTGTTTACCTCAACATGAAGAAAACAAATGTTGAAGTATAATTCCATGTTAAAATTGGAAAAGAAAATTACGAAATCGAAATCTACGTTTTGAGTATGTGTCGTAGTGTACTTCATTTACTCGAATTCGATATATGATGAATGAGTTACTTTTGTTCGGGCCTAAAAAATAGAGTCGGGCCACAAGCTAAGCCCATTCGCATAGTAGCTTATCAGATTAATCCCATAATTCGTTGGTAAGGCTTTAAAGTTTGAAGTGTTGTTCAAGAGTCCAGTTGGCCAGCTCTTCAGCTAAATATGTAATTTCTATCATAATTCTTTTTATTTAATTCTACTCGACCCCTTCGAATCAAATGCCAACTCTCATTAAAAATTAGTAAAATTCTCTTAAAAAATAAAAAAATATAATTATCTTATAAATCAAAATTCAAAACACGGAAACTGTAGTAGCCCTTTGAGTTATCTCAGTTTGAATCAACTAGATTTGATGTTATAAGAAAAAGTTATGCATGAAAGAATTATATTTTAAATTTTAGATAACTCAAAATATCAAAGTTGTGAGCATTGTTCATTGATTCATTCATATTTTTCTCATATAGCACCGAATCTTTGTGATTCAAGTTGGATTAGAAAGCTAATTCAAAAAACTATAAATTCCGTATTTTGAATTTTGCTAAATTCAGCCCAAGAAACATGGTCAAATTCACGTTGAAGGTCACTAGTATTAAGAAAACTAAAACGACATTTATCACATATTCGTTAAAAGAAAGACCACTCACCCCTGCAGGCCGGAGGAAATTCAGTCAAAGGAAAACAATATCTTTAGATTCTTACAAATCACACTAAACTAACAATAATTGGTTCTTTTTCTTCTTTCTAATTATATATATGAATGAATCAAAGATAGAATTATTAAGAATCTCATGCATGTAATAAAGCCTAAGAGATCGCAAAAAGTTAATCTTTTACAACTAATTAATAATAATTTTACCCCAACAAAATTCACTAAATTCCAAACCCTAGAAAATAGTGAGATGGCAACATATTGATTAATGATGGAATTAAAAAATATTTAGTTATGGAAAAAAAGAAGAAAAGAAAAGCCAAAGAAAAGCGGTTTAGGGAGGGAAAATAGGCTTTTGAAAGTGGTGATGAATGTTATATGATTGAATTAATAAGGTGTAAAGTAAAAGTGAGGCGCGCGTGCTCCACATCCCTTATTAATAATTCCTTGATTAATCACTAATCTAACTGATCTCTCCTATGATTGGATCTTCCATATTCTTCTAATTGACTTCTATTCCATTTCCTCATATTTAGTAGGAGTACTAATTACTAACTCTCATTATATAATTGATGCCAAATTAATGCATCTCACTTGCAGAATCATATAATTTTTTGTTATTACCTATTTTGATCCACTAAATTCCGACTTTGAAATAATCTATTTTTGTAAACCAAATATATTAGATAAGAAGAAATAAACTTAAGAAATAAGTTTGAGTATGACGAAAATGTTATGAGTAAATAAAATAATATATATATTGTGAATTGGGGGAATTGGGACCAATTTTTGTGTGGAAAAAGGTGTCAGAAAATGATTAGCAAAAATGCACGCACGCACGCACCAATGACCAGACCAAACCAAACTGTTGGGAACAAAACAAAAGAAATATGCTCTCATTTCAATATGCTTCTTCTCAATACACACACACACACACACATATATTCACTGAACAACATAACTCTGTCAATTGTCATTTATAACATTTGTTTTTTTCTGAAAACATGACTAAAACACAGAGAAAAAAAACATTAATGAATAATTACAATTAAATAAATCAAATATTATTAATTAATTAATAGTATATATTTTCAGGATTATATATATATATATATATATATATATAGAACCACCGTGTGGATCAGAGTTGATGAAAATGATATGCAAGCTGACCCTACGTACTACTACTTTTTGCACATGCATGCATGTTTTTAAAGTTATAAAGGTCATATATATATGCATACATATGTGTACCAATCAATTAACTACATATGCCTTGTTATTTATACACCTATATATATTATATATAATACGTACTACTCTATATATATTCTCCATCTTCATTATTTATATTCCTATCTGATCTCTCTCTCTCTCTCTCTCTCTCTCTCTCTCTCTCTCTCTCTCTCTCTCTCTCTCTCTCTCTCTGTGCGTACAGATCAGAGGTTGCATATATATATATAGATAGATGAGGAGGATGATAGACTTAGGGAGAGGGCAAAGGGGTCCATTCCACAATATCATCGACACTCCTACTTCACTCGATTGCGGCGTCAGCGTCGGCGTAAGCCGTGACGTCAGATTCCGCCGAACCTTCCGCACTCTCGTCGACTGCATGTTCCCTGCTTGCTGCGCCTTCTCTCATGAATATTTATATGATGACACCTTCTCCACCGCCCACAGCACCGTCGTCACCGGAACCATCTTCGGCCACCGCAACGGCAGGGTCACCTTCTGCATCCAAGACGGCACCAGGGTATCCCCACCTCTCCTCCTCCTCGAATTCTCCGTCCCAACCTCCTATCTCGCTAGACAGATGCACCACGGCCTCCTCAGAATAGCCCTCGACTACTGCCCCGACCCCCGCCGCCGCAGCTCCGCCGCCCCCCTCTACGACGTCCCCGTGTGGTGCATGTACTGCAACGGCAGGAAGGTTGGCTTCGCCGTCAGGCGCCAGATGAACCCCGCCCACGCGGCGGTGCTGAAGCTCATGCAGTCGATTTCTGCGGGGGCTGGTGTATTGCCCAGGGCGGAGGACGGCGGCGGCGAACTCATGTACTTGAGAGCAAGCTTCGAAAGGGTAATTGGATCGGCAGATTCAGAGTCGTTTCATATGATTAATCCTGCGGGAAGCTCCGCCCAAGAGCTCAGTGTTTTTCTGTTGAGATCTTAATTATTAATAATCATTAATATTTAAGCTAAGTGGTCCAACTATTTTATTTTAATTAATTGATTTGCATATATATATATATAAACTTGATTAATTAGTGTATTAATTAAGTTAGTGATAGCAGCAGCAGCTAGCACACTTTGTAATGGAAGTATATACAAATCCTTGAATACAGCACACTAGCTAGTTAGTGCCAAGTGATACCTGGATTCTATAATTAAACAAAAGATGAATATATAATATTATCGATCAATTATGTCTAATTTATAATTATATCCATAACAAGTAAATTAATGTTCATTGTAATTTGTCCATATAAGAATCCAATATGTTGGCGCCAGATTTTCACAGATAAACAAAATTCGCCACAATTGGGAAGTAAAGATTGGCAAAGAATTGTTCCCAATGTTTATTTTGGAAATTTAGAGTCCTTTCTTTGGAATAATTTAGGACCTAAATTTATTTCCTTGTACTCTACTCTAGTTAGGAATCTTTTATGGTTATCTAGATTAGAATTAAATATTGATTAGGATTCTGTTTCCTAGTTATTCGAATCCTTTGGGAACAAGGTAGGTCTTTGGAGGCCGACTTCACGTCTATATAAGTCTCCTCTCCTCACAAAGACCGTGACACTTTTTGGGAGAAGAATTACTCCATAGTTTTGAAGAATTGCTAAAACGTTCTGCTGGACAGAACTGTGCCACCGTTGCATGTGTCAACATATACAAATCTGCTGTATAGATCTCAAGGGAGATCAACCGCGTCACTGAAGGGAGTTCATGCCTGAAAGGAGTTCTAGGCAGGCGGTGTGGAGCTGCTGTTAGAAGAGACACGGAGTTCGAGTTGTGTACAAGAACGGCATAAATAATTAAAGAGGGAGTCTTAATTATTTTAATAAGTCTTATTAATGTACACTGTAAATCTGAACTAGTGAAATCGTGTTTGCAGGTCCACGTGGATGTAGGGCACAGTTGTCTCTGAACCACATTAATTCTTGTGTTCTGTTTATTTGCTTTAGTAGAATATAACTATGTTAACATAAGAATTATAGTTGTAACTAAAACATTGTTTCGACTAATCAAATTGTTACAACTAGAGAATTACTGTATTTATAGGCATATAAATCTACAATTGGCATCAAGAGCCTCTCACTAGATATACATAGTGTGTGATTTTGGGAATTTGATTTATTTGACATTTACCTTTCATAGGTACTATGAGTTCTCATATGGAAGGAGGTTCCACTACTCGTCCACCACTGCTTACGGGAACCAACTACTCCTATTGAAAGACTAAGATGAAGATGTTCATAAAATCAATGGATGAAGACGCGTGGCCGACAGTGTTGACTGGATGGAAACGACCCGTTGCCACAGATGAAAAATGAATTGAAACTGAGAAGCATGAGAAAGACTGGAGCAAAGCCGAACAAATTGCAGCAAATATGAATTCCAAAGCCTTGAATGCTATATTCAATGGAATTGATATCAATCAATTCAAGATAATCTCTGCGTGTGAGTGTGCTAAAGAAGCATGGAAAAACTCCAAACAGCCTATGAGGGAACTGCTTCAGTTAGATTATCCAAACATCAAATGCTTGCCACCCAGTTTAAGGATCTTCGAATGGAAGAAAATGAGACCGTGAGCGAATTTAACTCCAAATTATGTGACATATCAAATGAAGCTCATGGCCTCAGTGAAACCTATCCTGAAGTTAAACTTGTTCGGAAAGTACTCAGATCCATGCTAGATCGATTCGCATACAAGATCACTGCTATAGAGGAAGCCAGTGATGTGGACTCGTTGCGACTTGAAGATCTAATTGGAAATCTACAAACTTTTGAAAACAAGTTGAACATCAGCAGAATGGACAAGGAGAGAAAAATTGCTTTGCAAACTGCATTGGACACAACATCATCTGTGTCTACTGTTCCTATGACAGCACTTGAAGTCAATCTTACAAAATCCATGTCCTTAATATCAAAAAACTTCGGAAAGTTCATGAAAAGAAATGGACATCCTACAAACTCTGAGAGAAAACCCAGGACTTCTACAGATAAGCCAGCAGTCAAGAAGGGAATTCGATGTAGAGAGTGTCATGGTTATGGTCATATCCAGGCAGAATGTGCTAACACTCTGAAAAAACAGGGAAAATCACTTACCACAACTTGGAGTGATGACAACTCAGATTCTGATGATGAGAGTGAAGCTAGTGACGATGATACAAACAATGATTTCTGTGGAACATGCAGAATCACTGAAGACACACTAGAAGACACCATATGCACAGAACCACCACATCTCATGTATGTCACACAGAAAAATGAGAATCACGAAAAATTAAATACATCTTTTCTGTCCACAGGGAATGACGAATCAAAAGATGAAGGTGAAGATTCTATCCAACAAATTTAACAACAGTTGTATGATCTCCTAAAGCAATGTCATGAAGTCAGTAATGAAAATAAAGTCTTGAAAGAAAGAATCAAAGAACGAGAGGAAGAGAACGAAGCTGTTATAAGAAAGTTAAATGACAGAATCGATGAACTTGAGATGGAGATTGAAGTCTTTGAAGTGGAACAGGACTTCGCACAGACAGACATCGACAATCTAAAAGATCTGTTGAAGTATTGGCAGGACTATGATGGTGAAAGAGCAAAAAGAATCAGGAAAAATCTTTTTCCAAAAATACAGGCTGAGGATGATCACCAAGATATTTCACCATGTGTTGCCACAATGTTTGAGGCTTCTGTCAGTAAGTTAAATCGCACTACATTTCTTCCCTCAAATAGATTAGATGAAATCATAAATGCTCATCCTTCTAATCCCAAGAGAATTGGTCTAGGGTATACTGGTGGACAATCTAATGCTAACACTGGTTCGAACCAGAGAATTAGATTCGTCAATCCCATATCTCCGCATGTGACTACCCAAAGCCATCCAACTAAGTTTGGTCCTATCTGTCACTTCTGACACGAAGTGGGGCATGTCAGGCTTAAATGCTTTAAAATACGGAAACTGATAAATAAACAGTTAGCATATCAGCCATCCAATTCCACTGCGTGGGATATTTACTCCCAAAGAAAAAAATCTAATAAAAAATGGATGACAAATGATAGTACTAACTGTTGATCAGCTATTTTATCTTTAAATGCATGTGCTTATAACTCTTGGTATTATGACAATGGATGCTCCAAACACATGACAGGTGAAAGGAATTTCTTGTCAAATTTGCATAACATGTCTAGTGGACATATCACTTTGGAGATGGAAATAAGGCTTACGTAAAAGGAAAAATGAACTTGAGTGTTGGAGGATTGCCAAACCTAAACAATGTTCTGTATGTGGAAGATTTGAAATCAAACCTTCTGAGTGTAAGTCAACTGTATGACCTATACGACTCAGTATTGTTCACAAAGCGTAAGTGTGAAGTATTTGATGAAAGCAAAAATTGTGTTCTAACTGGATCCAGGTCATCAGATAATTGCTACAAAATTGATCAGATTGATAAATCCGATTAATGTCATCACACTTCTTCTGATCTCACTGATCTCTGGCATCGGAAACTAGGTCACCTAAATTTTCATGATCTAATCCGTCTTGTTAATGCAGGCTGTGTGAAAGGAGTACCACAACTGAAGTCTGACACACCAGAGTCATGTGGTGATTGTCCATTGGGGAAACAAGTACGAACATCTCACAAGAACACAGATCATGCATGGACTAGCAGGACCTTGGAACTCATTCACATGGATTTAATGGGGCCAATGCAGACCGAGAGCATTGGTGGAAAAAGGTATGTGTTAGTTTGTGTTGATGATTTCTCAAGGTTCACTTGGGTACGGTTCATTAGGGAAAAGTCAGAGACTTTTTATTAGTTCAAAACTCTATGCAAAAAATTGCAAATTGAAAAATTCAGCAATATTGGAAGAATTCGAAGTGATCATGGAAGAGAATTTGAAAACTCTTCATTCACAAAATTTTGTGATAAACATGGTATCTCACATGAGTTCTCAGCACCAAAGACACCATAGCAGAATGGTGTGGTAGAAAGAAAAAACAGAACTCTCCAAGAAATGACACACGTAATGCTTATCTCAGCACGAGTGGCCACAAAGTTCTGGGCTGAAGCTATGAGTACTGCCTGTTACACTATAAACCGTGTACATCTTAGACCAGGTACCAAGAAAACTCCATATGAAGTATGGAAAGGTAAGAAATCCAACTTAAGTTACTTTCATATGTTTAGGTGTAAATGTTACATCTTGAATGATAGAGAACAACTCGGTAAGTTCTCTGCAAGAGGAGATAAATGTACGTTTCTTGGTTACTCTCTGAACAGCAGGGCTTATCGCGTTTATAATGAACGTACAATGACTGTCATGGAATCCATAAATGTAAGCTTTAATGAAGTCTTATCTGCAGGAATAGATGATAAAGACTCTAGCCATGGAAAAACCGTTGTATCAGTTCAAACTCCAGAAGTAAGCACAGAAGATGTGACAGCGGTAAAGGAAAGCACAGAAGAAGAAAAAAGGCCATCAAAATGAGTTGTAAAAAACCATCCTTCTGAACAGGTGATAGGAGAAATTGATGAAGGTATGAAAACTCGAAATAAACCCAAAGTTGATTACCAAGAAATGGTCAGGTATGTCTGCTACACTTCTACTATAGAACCAAAAAATATCAAAGAAGCGATTCTTGATGAATATTGGGTACAGGCTATGCAAGAGGAACTTGAACAGTTCACTCGACATGAAGTGTGGGAACTAGTTCCACGACCCGACCAGGTAAACGTTATAGGTACTAAATGGGTGTTCAAAAACAAAACGGACGAACTCGGTAACATAACTCGCAATAAAGCTCGTCTAGTTGCTCAAGGATACACCCAAATTGAAGGAGTAGATTTCGATGAAACATTCGCTCCGGTAGCTCGACTTGAGTCAATACAACTTTTTACTCTCGGTAGCTTGTGTTGTAAAGTTTAAACTTTTTCAAATGGATGTTAAGAGTGTGTTTTTAAATGGTCTTTTAAATGAAGAAGTGTATGTCGAACAACCAAAGGGATTTCAAGATCCTCTCAAACCTCAGCAT